GGGTTCAAGGGGCGCGTGCTGCTTCGGTAGCTCTGGCGGCGCTCACTTCGCGGCCCCCTTCGCCTGCCTTGATCTCGTTGATTCCCCTCCCCTCCCCTCCCCTCCCCCGCGATGCGTCGGGCTGATTTCCCGGACCCCGAGTAACCCGAGGCTTCTTTGCAGCGCGCGCCTGTCCCCGCTGACCGGACCTGCCCGCCCGCCCGGCGCCCAGCCGGCCTGCTCTCGCCTGAGGGACGCTGCCGTCGCCAGCCATGAACACCATCGTCTTCAACAAGCTCAGTGGCCAAGTGCTCTTCGAAGAAAGCGCCAAGGAGCGGGACAGGAGCAGCAGCCGGCCTTACGGGGCGGTCTTGGACGTCTCCCCGCACCCGGAGGTCCTCCTGCCCGACAGCCCTCCCAGTAAAGACAACCTCAGCCTTCGCCATAGGAGGACGGGGTAGGCGCCCGCAGGCCGCTAGATGCTGGGTGAGGGCTTGGGGGGCGGCGTGGGAGGAGGGAAGGTTGGGTTATGCAGGAGAAGCCAGAGGCTGGTAGCACCGGTTGAATACGTTCTGGGGTCCTGTCCACCTCCTATCCAGAGCCTTGCGTGAACGCTCCAATCAGCCCAACATCTGTACATGTACATTTTGGTAACACCATAACTTCCAAACCTCCTAGTGTTTACTCACAATTAGTATGTCCCCTTGAATTATTTCCATGCACTTTTAAAAGAGACGGGCATGTTTGTGAAGATGAAAATCCCACTGAGTTCAGTGAGGATAGTCTGGGCAGCTGGCAGTGTAAAGATTGTGGAACTATGTACTTCTAACACGAACGTGGTGCCATGCTGGAAATCAGCAGCCTTCTAAATACTGTGAGAATGTGAAAAAGAGCTGTGCCAGGTCAATGTCTGAAAATGGAAGCAGCTGAACAATTACCTAGGAGTGACCTCAGTGGGGTTTACATCTAATAATAATAATTTCAAAAGTAAGGAAACTATAGCAGTATCTATTAACCAATATTGCATTTGACAGGCAGCTAAAAGACAATAATGAATATGCTGTCAATTATTTAACAGGGAAGTCTTTTGTTTATGGATATCTTAACCATGCAAGGCAAATCTATTGCTGTTTGTGGCTGTTTTTTAAGTGATGGTCAACATGTGTGTGGCAAATTTATTCAGGTTTGTTTTGGTTTTTAGGAATACTTCTGTACAGTTATTTTGAGAGCGATTGGCACAATAGCCATGTTATTAAATTATTTAATAACTTTATTAAATGTTAACCTAATCTATTTACTGTGCATCAAATTATGAATCCAAAGGAATCAACATTTGCTCCATTTGTTCAGAAACAGGCAGAGGATGGGTGAGTGGGTCAGCTGATGGTTTGCTACATGGACTTCATGAACAAAATGAGACAAACCTAAGAGTAATGTGCGTAAGATCAGAATGCTCATTTGTGAGAAATATCTTCATCAGAAACTTAAGGGATGTCAAAAATGCAAAAGGGGGAGGAGATATTTTTTTCCTGAAACGAAAAGTTAAAAATTACATCAGTTCATACTTCCAAAAATATTTCAGGTCACCAAAAGAATGGTTGTGCTGAGATGCTGTTATCATCTGATTCATAGAGAATTAGATTTCAGCTATAACAGTACAAAGTAAAAGACCAAAAAGAAATTAAAGAATAAGGGGACCATTCATGGGTGAGGTGGGGTGGGGTGGGGTGAGGCTGGGGAAGGAACAAGCAGTAGATGTTCTGTTTGAGGGCAGCATCTTCTGGGGAATCATGGTATTACAGGATCAAGCTGCAGAACCTGAACCAGAACTGGCACTAGGATGGGATGGCACGGAATAGCGGAATAGGAGATTGACAGAATAGATCTCTGGGTCAACAGAAATCAACAAAAACCTGCTCTTGAGCAGCTTCTTGATATTTCATTGGGACTTGTGGACAGGCCAAATCCAGATGGCTGTCCTCTTGCTTAATTTTTGTTAATGCACCTCTTCTCACTGTGGATACCAAAATGTCCTGGACCGGCTCTGAGGGGAGATCAACTCTGCCCCTGGTTATAATCTGTTTCTCTAATGATTCTCCCTCATGTCGTGATTTTGGATACGGTGGATCCAATCTTATATAAACTTGCCTCTGTGTAAATTCCATGGAACTCTACTCAGTAAAGCTTCTTTCCATGAAGGAGGACTGCATATGGTTAGGCTTTACATTAATTAAACAGGACGTGCCTGAAAAAACAACGCATGCCTGAGAGATGAGGCTAAGTTGTTAATATCTTCCATTGGATGAACTTCTGTTGGGATAGGAATGTACAAACATCCCATCAGGCAGACATTTGCCTTTGCCCAGGGAAAAACACAGAGTGCAACTCATGATCTGGTAATAGATACGATAGCAACCATTATGTGTATCTGAATATTAATTGCCTATCAGTACTGGGTTGTCTGTGAAGGTTAAATTTAATTCCATTTAAGATTGGTCATGTGCAGAAATTACTGATATGTGCTCCCCTTGATAATTAGTCATGAACAGATGTGCGGCTCAGAGTGTTGGAAGGGGAGAGGAAGTTACTGTCCCAGTATCTTGAATAGGCAAGTGTGTAAACTGCTTGATCTCAAAACAAGTTGGATCAAGATCACACTATCTACACTAGCAGTTAAACCAAGTCCCTAACTCTGGGAGACTGGTTGGGGCATTTGGAATTTTGAGAGCATGTTATGAATGCTTTCGCAAACTCGTTCTCAGGGGAAGGCTTGCCAATATACAAAATGTTTGCATTGTGTTACCAAAGAGCAAGATTAGTGAGGTTGCTTCCCATCGCACCCTCTTGTTTTGCAAGCTATCTTAGCTTCACAGTTCATGTCTGGGGCCCATGGACAGACTGGCACTTGGCTTTGCAATGTCTTCTCTCAGGTCCTGGGCTAGTATGGGAGTCATGCCCCTTTGGTTGGTTTTTTGCTGGTTGACTTTCGGGGTTTTGGTCTCTGGTCAGTTGTCTTCTTTTAAAATACAAGTAGAAGCAGTTGGAGAAAGGAGATGGAATTTAACTCTTTGTCTCCTGCTCCAATCTTAGGAAAATTTCTTATATGAAGCCAGTGTTGATCTTGAGAAGACATCCCCCACTGTTGCCTACCATAATAGAGCCATTGACTGTCCTCAGCTTGCCTCACAGCATGCTCAGCAAGCACATTGTATCATGCAGCTGTGAGAATGAAGACCGTGGAAACCACTGAAACCTTGGGTACACCCCCTAGGTTCTTTCCAAATATTAATCCTGAATATTAACTGTAATGCAACAGAAGGGAGAGCATATTAAGTACAGGAAGAGTAATATTGACTGTGTTTAATTAAATTTAACTGTAGTTAAATTAACATGTATTTTTCTCTGGTCTGGGCTTTTTTGTCACTCTTATTTTTGGTCCTATCTTGGCTCCCAGCACATGACACAAAGACTAAGTGGCTGTTTAGCTGCCCTACCTGCCCACCGGTTTTTGCACTCTAAAGGTGCAGTAGAATAACGACTAAAAATAAACTAGGTTTCCTTACAAAACCTCATACCAGGGAAGGCATTCATTTTAGTTGGTAGATTTCTACCTTGCCTTTCTTGTACCAGGCTTTGTTTTAGCTGAGTTTGGATTAATTTAGATCCAGCTTGCCTTCAGCAGCACATGATTCACTATGGAAGTTAAGGAAATGGTATGCCTGGAGATTTCCACAGGGCCTACACTAAGACAAAGACTTGCCTAGTTTCAAATACATGTGAAAATGCACATTTGCTTAAGGAGAGAGAGGAGAAGATGGAACTATCCCGCCACACCAGTGTTTTTCAACCTCAGCAACTTTAAGATATGTGGTCTTGAACTCCAGAATTCCCCAGCAACTCCCAGAATTCCTCAGTATGCTGGCTGGGGAATTCTGGGAGTTGAAGTTCACACATCTTAAAACTGCTGAGGTTGAGAAACACTGTCATATACTTCCCTTTTGAGCAGGCAATTAATAGTAAACCCAGCCACCTCCTGCTGGCTATATAGTATCTGGAGCAGAGTGCAGGGCTGCTTACTATTAATGGTGCAGTCTGTTGGACTGATACTAATTCATGCTCAATTCCTTGAGTTTTTGTGCACCTCTCTTGCTGCCTCTACTGGGTGGCTCTTTGTGCATCCTAAAGACATTCCTATTGCTGGACGCTGAGGGTCGTTGAGCCCTTGTTTAAAGGCAGAATTGAAAGGACAGTGCATGAGAATTTGTTGATTATGCTGTATTCTAGCCCTTTACACCTCAGTGCCCTAGATATGATGGGATGGCAACTCCCTGACATTTTAGCCAGCGCAGCTGAAGAGTGCTATACTGGAGAAGATTGCTGAACTTGCTTGCTTTGGCAGCACTGTGTGGTGTATCTGTAGCCCAGTCTGACATGAAGAGAGAGGCTAAAGACTTGTGTCAAGTACCAAATGTTTTCTGTTAGCAAACACTGTTTTGTCTGCATTTTCTTTTCCTTCTCAAATCCCTCTTCCAAGGTCAGGCAGTGTTTCAACAGCTTCCTTACTTGGGAAAGGTCTTTTATCTTCGTAAGAAGCTAAAGAGATGGTGTGCAGGCTCCAGAACTGGACGATGGGATTCAAATTATCAAAGTCTCCAGTCTGGCAAGTCCTTTGTCTTCCGCCCCTTGGGCCTCAGCTTTGCCCTTTGGTTTGCGTGCTTATTTATTTGCTTCCTGCAGTGTTATTTTGATGTTGTGAATATGAGGATAACTCTCAATACTGTTACAGTTAGTTGGGATGGTTTTTCACAGAGTTAGAGAAGTAAACATGCAAGGAGTAGGCAAACTCCTCTCTGCTTATTCTTCCATAAAACCTGAATAAATGATTATGCATAGTTTGTAAATCCACACTCCCTCATATGTCTGTATTTGTGGGCTGCTCTGAATGCCTTTAGATCTTTGTTTAGAGAATTGTTGCCTTCATGCCTCAGTTGTCCCATATGTTTCAGAGACTGAGGCTGATCCTTGTGGGAAATATTTGGAATCAATTGACCTTTAGTTTAATCCCGCAGGGTTCTCCTTTATGTTGCTTGTAATTACCATTGATCATGTACAATGACAAGAATATATTAGAAAAGTCTCCAGAGTTCATTCAGAGTCAGCCCCATTTATCATAATGACTTCTAGGATGGTACTGATAATCCAGCTGAAGTTAGTTATTATAATTGCATTCCTGTGAAAACACAGTCACTTAATAGCAATAAGACAGCCCAATCTTAAGAAGCGAAAAGGGCTAAAGTTTAGGATGGCTGAATCTGTGCCATATCCATATTCTTCCCAGCCCCAAGCAAGGGAAAACTTGAGGGGAGGGCGGAAGGGAAGCTCCTATTCACAAAAATGTTGCCATAGTAGTTACAAAACCAGAAAGTTATTTGGGGTATGGAACCTGGAGGGATAAAGAGATTGGTTTGTGGTTGTGTTGGCACTAACAGACACTTTATTGGGGATCTGTATATCAAGCCATAATGTAGCCTGTTTGATTCTGGAATAGCCTGTTATATGAGCCTGCCATTATGATTTATGGCTTAAAGTTTTCTGTGAATCCTAAGAGTTGTATGTTCAACAAGCCATGGTTAATGTTGTCTTAAAGTGTGGTGTGAAGCTATCCAGTATGTTGAGAGTTAAATTGTCCTAAATTGTTTAGAATCACCTTTATCTTCTTAGTCATAAGAGTAAAGATTAGCTGGGTTTTCAATGTACATATTGACTTTCCTGGTCTTGTTCTTTTTGCCTTTTTTTCCTCCTGGCAGAGAGATCTAATGCATTCCATCATACACTCAGTTAGGACCGTCTTCTTCAGAATTCCAAATTTGCTTTGGTACTTTCTAAAGTCATAATTGCCTTTGGGTGGATTGAGCATTAAAATTCTTGATTGGGATAATACATTAAAAAGAATATTTGTATTTTGTGTGTCGAGAATATCCTACTTGAGGTGTGTTGATATCACAAGCAGTGGAAAACAATTATGATAGACACCAGAACCTCTATAAACTCACATGCACTTGTTAAAAGCTGCAAATCAATTTTTCCCAGCCTGACATTCACCAGCATGTTCGGGGGGGGGCGGGCTGTAATTCTCACCCCCTTGGTAGGGAAAGGCTGAGTTATAGCTTCAAAGTTTACACCAAATAAATGAAAAGTAACTACTTTCACATTGATTAGAGACTATATTTGCTACTCTGACTGAGGGGAATGGGAGAAACTATAGATCAGTCTTCTCCAAGTGGAAGCACAGAAGTCATCTTTGCAGAGCATTTGGGCAGTTCTATTCCCAATCTTGGACTAGAGTACTACATTGGGGAAACCTGATACATACAGCCATGACATACAGTTCCCTTTCATGATTCACTGAAACTGTTTCTCCATCCCGTGAGTGGTAGCATGAATGCATAGCCTTTTGCCCTTTTCTCCTGAGAGATAGGAGGCTAAGAGTCTCAATATACCACTTTCTTCCCCCCCCCCTTCTTGTAGTACCCGGCAGAACAGCGGGAAGGTGAGGCACAAGCGCCAGGCTCTGCAGGACATGGCACGACCACTGAAGCAGTGGTTGTATAAGCACCGGGATAATCCCTACCCTACTAAGACAGAGAAGATCTTGCTGGCTCTTGGCTCCCAGATGACTCTAGTCCAGGTAAGAAGGAGATCCTCTATAGACTCTATTTTAAATAGTCTGATTTGTTACTATCTGATGTACCAGCAGGTACAGTACCTCTAAGTAAAACATGCATGACTTAAGGGCCATTTGCAGCCTCTGAAAGCCTTGGGTGTAGCCACTATGGATCATCAGAATTTGTTACAAACTTTTTTTTTAATGTAATAGAAGTAGGAGAAATAATAGTGATGTGTAAAATTTATTGATCTGGGAGTGGAACATTCTGGTACTTCAGAATGTTCCATTTCCCTCCAGAATATCCTATTCCAAAGGAAGTTGGTTGGTTTCTGGAAGTAAATCCTCGAAACCAGACTTGGAGGATTTACTTTTACAAACTGCCAAACTCTCATAAAACAGAATGGTGCAGGAAAAGGTTTGGCATGTTCCAGAAGAAAACCGAATATTTGGGAGCTCTCTAGAACATTCTGTTCCTAGACTGACAAATTTTGCATGAGTGTAATGATTGGAGAGTAATTATATGAACCATGTTTAATTTTAAGTACTTTTGGGAGAATAGCCCTCAGGATGCCATTCAAAGGCCAAGTATGATTCTCAACCTGGAAAACTGCACATCTGTCCTATAACAGTTTTCCCCAATCTCATGCCTTCCAGTTGTGTTAGACAAACAACTGGAGTTCCCAGTCAGCGCAGCTGGAGAATACTTCAGCTGCTCTTTAATATACATGTAGATGCATTTTTCTCTCCAATTAAATGAAAACTGCATACCAACTATTTCATTCCAAAAAAGCAGCCACATGCTTTTCTGATCAGAATACTAACTTGATTTTTGTTGTTTTTGATCTAAGCCAGTTGTTAACTGCCCCAGGAAATAAATATCTCAGTTTATCTACTTCTGCCTTAAAACCATTGATACTGAAAGAAAGTTGGGAATTAACCTGTGACAAGAAACCATTATTGTATGACTAAATTAAATAACTCCTTCTCTACAAACTTGAAAAGATTGATTTAGGCTTCCCAATTACATTTATTACACTAAGACAGCTGCCTATATATGTGGGACTGTAACTCCCATAATTTTATTTGGTTGGATGGAGATGATGGGACTTGCAGTTGAACAGGGTAGAGGATATCAGGTCCAGGAATATCATAGTAAGAGTAAATCAAGTGTTTGATCTCCCTGTTTTGGCTTGATTGGGATTTCTTAGGAATTTTATTGTATCAAGCTCATTGTGAAATGGTGTATAATAAAAGCTAGGCAGACATGGAGATCTGTGGCAGTCAAACCGGTAACCGTCTCATTTGACTACTTCAGCTGTTTAGGAATAAGTTGGATACTCATGTTAATCTTCTTCCATTTTTGGAGGTCTTTTATTATGTGTAGTCCTTCTGCCTTCTTAACCTTTCATGGCAATATGTTCCACAGAAATTAAATGGCATGTTTGGTTAAGAAGAAAAATGCTTCATTTTATTGCCAATCTGTCTTGACAGAAGCACGTGGTCTGAAACAAAAAACTATAATAAAAAATTCCAGATGCTCCTTCCATGCTTGGTCCAGCAATCTTGTTTTATCTGCATGAAAACCATCACTCAAAGGAAGGCAAAGGAGAGAATGAATTGTGGTTAGATCTGACTATTGATTATAAGAAGCCAATCTTCAAGAATAACAAAGGCAGGGTGTAATTTCAAATCACACCTGAATGTAGAATAACTCCTCTGCGACCATACCAACTGATACTGACATTGTTTTATCTTGGGAACCGGGTCATGTTTTAACATGTACTTGAAAAATAGTTCTCATTCTTTAAAGCTGTGCATTCCAGATTATCAAATAGTGTTGGATGATTGACTTTAATCTAGGATCATTAAGTGCCAAGACACTTCTGGAGTTGACTAAAAGAAAACGTGTTTTCATGATCTGTTTTTCCTTGTCCTACATTCCATATAATGAAGTTGACCTTTTCCCTTCCATCATTCTGTCAAATTCTGTAACACATTGCAATATTATTTTTATTTGGTTAGTTGCTACAGTGTTAGAGTTACGGTTTTATTTCAGTTTCAGTCAACCCTTTCTTATGATGGGATTGCTGCCAAATTAAAAAAAAAAAACAACCTCTCACAACACACCACAGCTGATTATTGTTATTAATTTTAGCCATTTAAACTGCAATCTGATGCTGATCTGCCTTGCCCTAACACCCGCTGAATTTAGTGAGACTTGTTTCTGGATAAGTATGAGTAAGATTGTATTAAGACTCCATAAATATGTGCATGAAGAAAAAGTATATTTGAAATAATTTGCCTTGTGTATGAAGGAATTCTTTATACTTGTGGGGAATCTATAGCCCCCTGAAGACATTCTTAAAACTATCTCTCATAGCCTCTTTTAGGTTTATGGCTTAGACTGCTGGGAATTGTAGTTGAATATCTCGGGGGGGGGGTCCACAGTCGTCTTATTCTGAGTTTTCCATCTTCAGTTTAAGTTACTGCATTAATTGTGTGTGTGTGTTTAAATATTTAATAAAGGAGTGAAAGGCCTTTTTGATCATATCAATTTTGCAGTCTTAATTCAAAGTAATTCAGGAAGTATACAATGTAAATATTTTCTTATTAACAATGCTTGTTGCTACTTCTCTTTGTGATTGGTTATTACTTGTTTGTTTCTTCTATCTGTATCTTCCTCTATATTGTTAAAACATGACCAGACATGGTTTGGGATTCATGCAGGAAGTTAATTGAATCTCTCCCTGATCAGTTGATAATATCTCTGGTCTCTCTGGATCATCTCAAGTTCTGGTTTTCTCCTGTTGCACAGTTTTGGGCAAACAGCAGGAGAAGCTGAGAGCTGGAGTGAAGAAAAACACTCAGCATCACTTGGATTGGAGAGGACTTCAGTTTATTTTCCCAAGTTTATTTGAACCCATATTAGTAATACCCTTAGTTTTCAGTCCACTTTCTTACCTGCTGTAATTCCACCTTTTCTTCCATCTGTATTACTGTATATATAAGGTCAGTTCTCATGGAAAGGTACTTTTTCAACTACCTTGAGTTAAATGTTTATGTGATTTACAGATATATTGTGAGAAGGTAGTGCCAAAGAGGTAAGGCATTTTTTGGAAAACCAATTATTACCTAGCCGAGATTGGGGGATTATGCATCCAAAGGAGTGCTAATTTGTACACTACCACCAGTTTTCTGAAACCAACTGGCGAGCCCTAAGGCTTCTTACTAGCCTTTTTCTTCAGCCAGAAATGTCCCAGCTATAGATGGCTTTCCTTTAATCCCTCAACCACACACTAACATATTAAGTGTGACCAGAAGCCACTGACCATCCACTAGCTTGGGACTTTTAGTTGGATGGGGAACCCTGATGAAGAACCAATGCAGTGAAAGTAGACATTATAAAGTGATGAAGAAAGCAAAGGCTTTGTACACCCTCCTAATTTTATTTTAGCACTACAAGCAAGCTGAAAAAGAAATGAATACAAAACATGGAGTGCTTTCTTGAGCTCCTGGTGGAAAACAGAATCTACATCTAAGATGATAAAAGTGGTAGACTAGGACTGGGAGATCCAGCTTCAGCCCTGGAAGTTCACGGAGTGACTTTGGGCCATTCCCTCCACCGATCCAGCCCCACAGGGGATTTTTTGGGGGGGGGGGAAATGGGAAGGGAGAATGTTGCATTTGCCTTTCTGAGCTCCTGGCAAGATATAAATGTAGCAAACAAGCAAATTGTCCTTGTATTAGATAATTTTGGCTAGAAGAAAAGGAAGAAGGTTTCTAAAAAAGGCTTGGAAAAAATCAGCATAGCTGAAGTCAGCTGAATACTGTGCCTAATTCATGTAACTTAAGCAAAGCCAATGGAACAGCATGTAGTACAACTTCCTAGATTCCCTTTTCTCCCATTTGCTTTAGAGTCAGAAACATTATACTCCGAAACTACAGAACTAGAGCAGGAAGCCATATTCGACGAAAAGCCGCAGCCTATATTTATCTCACCAATTAGCCCCCAATTTGGAGGCTAGCAATTTGTCCTGCTAATTTGCAATGAATATGTCATGTTTTCATTTGTGCTATTCCCGTAGGGGTGGATTTATTTTATTTTAAATTTGGTTTTAGCCATTCCTAGGAATTAAAAAAAAAAAAGAGGTTGAACATTCTTTCCAGAAGGGGAAATATGAATGGCTTTATTGTTGAATATGATTTGCCACAGTATGACTAATGGCTTGGTTGTGAGCTTCTGAGACTCTGGCAATATTCAGCTATGCAAAGGCATATACTGTATAGGATGTAATTTACTCAGGAAGAGGGAATAATTTAGGTGAGCCATATTCTCCACTTCAACCATTCCCAACCTAGTGTTCTTCAGATGTCTTGAACTTCAACTCTCAAAACTCACAGCTAGTGTCATTCTGTTGTTGCCCCACACATCTGGAGAGCACCAAGTTGGGGAAATTGCTCTTTCAGATGCTTATCCTTATGCAATATGACACGCAATATCCCAGTAATCTTTTCCCTTCAAAGGAGATAAAGATAGGAACGTACTTTATGATTTATAATTTAACTATGACGTTTGTTTAATGTTTTGGAAAACGGGAGACCTGCCCTAAAACCACCTGAAAAATACATTTGCTGAATGGAAACAGTTTATCATGATAGTAAGAAACAAAAAAAGAAAACAGAATGAAGGGCATGTAAAAAAGAATTTCTTAGTTTAATCCAACCTTTCTCCAGCCTCGGATCCTCCAGTTTTGTTGGAGCGCAGTGCATTGGCCTTGCTGGCTCGAAATTAGGGGGATTGTGGTCCAACATATCTGGCAAGTATCAAATTCTGAACGGCTACATTACTCAATTTTCCTAGCCCAGTTAGGATTATGCATACTTCTATGTTTTGCTTGCCCTGTTGTGACATTTTATATCCTGCCCCTTGTTCCAAGATGGAATTAGAGGTAGCACATGCAGGATTCCTGAAAGAGCTTCACCTAGGTATTAATGAAATCCAGAAATTTGCTGCATCGCACTCTTGCATATCATAGAAACAGCGTGTTATTTTATAAAACAAAACAAACAAAAAAACATGGCAGCTACATGTTTGCATTCCAGGACTTCAAAATGCTGTTCAACAGTTTGGGTCCCCAGCACAATCAGGGGAACTACAAAAATGAAACAAAATCGTCACCTTTGGAACACATGATGGATGCTCTAGTTAACAATCTGATGGCGGCTGGAACTGTATGTAATAGCTTCATTTCAGGCTTTACATGCTGCTGGATTGAGGCCCAATTTATATGAGCAGAAATGTAGCATTTCCAGAAACATTGAAGCCAAACAGGGTAGTAATGACAGTTCTGGGAAAACAATAGCCAATGCAGTACTTATTTATCAAACCTAAACTGACCGTATTGCCTTAGTTTACGTGGAATATTAAAAGTTGCTCCTTGACTAGTTGGTGCAACAACGGGCTTTGTGAGATGGGTGGCTATATAGATTAGAATAAATCAATAAATAAAGCTTTTAAATTTCTATTTGTTGAAATATTGTCATATCTACTGCTTGGAGTGAGCAATCTCCTCTCTCCTTTTTTGAGGCACTATGCTGAATTGTGAACTTAGTTCCTTCAGCCCCTAAACTGCCAAAAATGACGATTTCATAACTCTTTTCATGAGAGGAAGGCAACACCCAAAATTCAAGTGTTTGGGGATGCAGACGCTTTTCCTTGCAACGACCCTATTTCACGCTGAATCGCTGAACTTTACTGCCTGCTGGAATGCTTTAAACAGGGTGCTGTTCATATTCATGTGAATAATGCTTGCCATTTGCATGGAAATCTTGAGTGTGCAGGGCTTGATTTTGGCTTTTTCTGGGAAATGGAGGTGCATGCATATAAATCACAGTTTTATATTGCCTGTATCAAGAGCTATGCGGATAACACTCTACTTCTTCACGTGGCAGTCCTATAATGCCAACGGATGCTTATGCAGCTTTCAAGCCAACAAATCTTTCTCCCCCCCCCCCCCAACAAACAACTGGTGCAATCATTAACCCAGAATATCCAATAAAGTATTCAGAAAGTATACACAGTCCAAACATCAGCTCATCTGAGTCTGTGCTACAGAATAACACATGTTCCTGTGCTGAGCCCATGGTACTCTCTAGCATCAAGAATGTGAATGATGGGTAACTGTCAGCAGGGAAGCAGGTCCGGGTTACAGGGATCAGAAGAACTGACCTAGCACTCGGAAAGCCTAAAAAATTACAGCTGTCTCTTGCATTTATAGCCATGTACCTCCTATTTGGAGAGGAGCAGTGCAAGTTTCTGTTATTTCTTATGCCCCTGAAGCTGCAGAAATATGGAAAGAGTAAAGATATGGACTGGGAATGCTGCTTTTCTTAAACTGGTCATTTTATAGAAGTAGGTAGCAGGTGGCTCAGGCAGTGAAGGACAGGAAGGCCTGGCACAATATGGGTCATGGGGTCACGAAGAGTCGGACACGACTTAACGACTGAACAACAAAGCAGGTGGCTCTCCATATGTTATTAGACTAATTCCCATTCAACATTAGCTATGCTGACTAGGATTCAGCCATACCTCCAGGGCCATAGATTGCCCATCTTTGATTTAATAACCTATAGTCATAGAACTTGATATCATGTTTTTCCAGTGCTCATGTAATTGTTGTTAAAGTAGAACTATGAATCGTTTGTCTGCCTTTTGTACTTCTTTCATCACATCTACAGATGAGAAATTCGGTTCTCAATATTCTGGGTCAAAGGCCAATTTGATGCATTTGTCTTTTATTTAGGTGTCAAACTGGTTTGCCAATGCAAGGCGGCGCCTTAAAAATACTGTCCGGCAACCGGATCTCAGTTGGGCTTTACGAATAAAGCTATACAACAAGTATGTTCAAGGAAATGCTGAACGACTTAGTGTAAGCAGTGATGATTCGTGTTCAGAAGGTTTGTTTTTAATACTTTTAAGCTGTCTATATACAAAGTCTGTAAAATTGAAAATTATTATTATTTCTCAAGAAGTTAATCGCCTTGTGTGCTGTTTTTGCCTTGATTTGTGTTCCTCAACTACATCTAATAAGCAGCATCTTTCTGGAGTTTTGAAGAAGAATGAATGCCTCTAGAAGTCACTTCAGAGATTAAAAGTATATTTATATCTGGATGGACTGTGGCATTTGCTTAAGATGCAATGATGGTTTTGTAGAAAAGAGAGGAGTCTTATGCCCACTTGTATACAGTCCTACAATAACTTCTCCCAAAGCTTAAATTTGGCATGAAAATGTCAATTTTTCTGAATTATTTGAACTAAGTCTGTCTTAAAGCCCAGTTATAAATGTATTAAGAGACAAGAGGGAGTTCACTGTATATTTGCAGAAAAATATTCGTTCTCTATAGCAACTGCAGCAATTCCACTACTGCAAAGATAAATTATGTGTGAAGTGAACCATGTCTTGTTTCTTTGGGGAACTGCCAAAAAGATAGTAGTGGGTAAATCATATAAGAAGTTATTTCTTTTTGGGGGGGGGATTTCGTTTCACCCTGCTTTAAAGGGGTGAGCCTTATATCTATAGATCTTAGTAAGAGGCTTATTCTTTGAGGTGCTCCATTTATGTTTAAAGGAAGTTAATGTAACCTTCACTTAGACTAGTTGGGAATTTGGGGAGTGGGGCAGGTTAGAGAAGGCTCTGCAAATGGATTTTAGAAAAGACCATTATGATAATGTCATCTGATCTCAGTTTTCCACTGAAAGCTTCCTTAGGAATATAGATATAAAGATACATAAGAAATGCTTCTGCTTGACTGTTCTTCTCTCTGCAGATGGTGAAAACCCTCCACGAAATGAAGGAGGATACAACACACAAGTTCATCATACTGTGATTAAAACGGAAAGTTCTGTCATAAAATCTGGAGTAAGACCAGAAGGAAGCGCCAATGAGGATTATGTAGCACCTCCTAAATACAAAAACAGCTTATTGAATCGCTACCTGAATGACTCGTTAAGACATGTCATGGCCACAAATGCAGCCATGATGGAAAAAACGAGACAGAGAAATCATTCGGGATCATTTAGCTCCAATGAATTTGAAGAAGAACTGGTGTCACCATCATCCTCCGAGACTGAAGGAAATTTTGTCTACCGGACAGGTATGCTCCTGTTCCCCAAGACCCTCTCCCTTTTCTTGTTTCTTCATAATTATTCCTATTTTTGCAACAGGGCTGCTTTAGGATGAGTGTGTGTGAGTTAACCAAGAATCCTCTTAATAGCTCCTGCTATAAATCAAGTTTGAGAATCACACTTTAATTCAAGATTATGAAAATAATTAATCGGTCTACATTTATTTAGTGAAACAACTTCTCTGTGAATGGTCGGGACTCGTCCTTGTTCTGTATAAGCGTCTGGAACAGTGCTCTTAATGTGAAGCTTAAATAAAATGCAGGATCTCTCTGAGCAAGTGAAGCATAAATTATTCTTCCTATATATTTCTCCCTTCAAGAAAGGAGTAAAAGGATACACGTAAGGACAACCAAAATCAGTTGCTACTGATGACTAATATCTCAGAGTTTAGGAGACCAATGCTGAAATTAATACTGTAGTTCAGTATTTATATTTGTAAGAAAAGCTAGGTTTCACTGAATGTCTGAGGTTAGAAAGCCAGCATTAAAAGAATACCTTTCCACCATAGTAAAATCACCCTCAGTTCCAATTGGTGTCCTTGCCAATATAATAAGTCTTGTTAACGGGGTTGCTTGGGGGCTTTAGGGCTTTAAATTAATGGGGCTTTAGGGCTTTCTTAAAAGCAGGCAGAGATGAGGTCTGATACACTTGAAATGGCAAAGCACACTATTTGATGTGAGGCTCTACAGGAAAGGCTGTTTTCTATTTGGTCAAACTTTGTAGCACTCAGAGAAAGTTAAGAGGGAAAGGTCTCAGTTCTGGGCAGACTGACATGAGTGAAGAAATCTTTTCAATATTTTGATCCCAAATCAAGATGCGTTGGCTCCATCGTGCTACTGCTTAGTCTATTTGCAACCTTCTGCCATTTGGTTAATTGTTCTGAAGGCCTTGGACTTTGGCCTAGATGTTCAGTGCCAACAACTTGAGTGGTTTGGATTAATGGTCTGGCTTAGTATCAAACAGTTCCATATGAGAAATCCTCTTCTTGTCTGTTTTGTTAATAAATATGAATCCTATATTGTTCATCTGTTGCATCATGACAAAATTATGTTCCTCCGAGCTGCACTGGTCCATTAATTTTGGCCTGTTTAGGCCTGCCATAGGCTGCATGTATGTGCACTTCTGAATACAGTGGAAACCTGAACATTTGAATGTTTCCCAAACTTCCTAATGAAATCCATGGATATAAATCTGCTTGTTTCAGCCTGTCATTAAGCGTTTTACACTCATATGTGGGATTCATTCTTCCACTCTCACATATTAACCTTTGTCAGTTCTTTCACAGTCCTTTCCCCAAGGTCTTGCAACCTTTTTATAATTCTTGTCTCACCTTCCAGGGTTTTGCTTTAAAGTAAACCCCAAGTTAAAGCTCTATATCCCTAAAGTAAGAAAATAGATTTGCCCCTCTTTAAAAAAGGCTTTCCTTTTTCATTCTTTCCTGTCCATCCTAATGTATATTTCAACTAAAGGATGTACACTGTAATTTACCATCCAGCTCCCCACCCCACCCTGCACCTTCCAACCCCCAGGTTTTTTCACTTTTCAAATATATCAGGGCTACAATTCCAAGTTTAATAGGTATGTACATTTAAGGGAGAACAGGTTTCCTAGAAACCGAATGGCTATAAAAATATCACAAGATATTTGGGAAAGGACTATGAAAAGTTGGTGAGAGAAGACTGGACAACAGACCATAGTATGCTGAAATATGAGGAGATCTTCTTTAGCTGAAAATATATGTGGGGTGAGTGGTGGGGAGGGGCAGGTTGAAGTAAGAAAAGCCAAATGCCATGTCAGCTGTGAATTCTGAGAGAGATAATTTGAAATATCTGTGAGATCTGATTGGGGATAGTTGTTATAGGCCATCTATATCTTGATGCCTATATTTTCAAAGAATGATTCTTTCAACAAGTTTATTCCTTCCTTTATTGTTTGGATAAAAATTAATAATAATAACTCATCCCTTTGATCTGGACCCTTGGATCTTCAATCTTCTGTAGATCTTCCATTTAAGTTAAAATTATTATGCTTTCCATCCAAGTCTTGGGTTGAGCAACGGACTTTCCTTGAAGTGTATTAATAGTTCTAAAAGGTTTTGTGTAAAGTAGGAGCTGTGGTTGTCTAATTTAAGTGTTTTCCAAGTGAAATCGCTTGGTTTTTGAATGCTGTTTTTCAACATTCCAAGTGCATTTGGTCTACATTATGTGATAATCCTCTGCCAAATTTTAGTTTAAAATGATTGTTGCTCAAATGAGCACACAGTGACTTAAGACATGTGAACTTCTGGTTTTTGATACTTATACAATTGGAATTTAAAAATGGGCATACTCTTGAGTAATAGACTTGTTACTGGATTTGGCCTCTTTTCTGCCAGCTATTTAGCTTTGACTGGGAACTGGAGGAACTTCCTGAAATGGCTGGGGCATCCGTATACCAATCACTACAGTGGGAACAAGCTGAACATTTGGAAAAACAAGCTATAAATTGTTACACAATCATGCTAATGTCTCTCTATGTGTGCAGGATTAGTGCTATATATAAATTTCTTCCTTTGCATGTACTCTTGAAAAGCATAAAGCAGTATGTTTAGATAGACAAGTTTAACGTTCATAGGTACATTTTTTTCTGGACAAACTCAAGTTGCGAGACAAAAGACATTATATAATACACTGATGTTATTTTAAAGCAGGGATACACTTTGGGGAGGGAAAAGATAAGGCTCTTAACCAGCATGCTGGAAGCCACAGTCAAAAATGTGTGTGTTGAAAGAGGTCAAAGAAATGGGTGGGGCTAGGACAAAACTTAATTTAATTAACTAAATTACTCTTCCTGTTATTTCCCCCTTTTAAAAGTTATCATTTGGTAGCAGTATTTTAAAGTGCTTTGTGGGCTCACTCAAGGCTTTAAGGGCCTCAAATTGTGCAACCCACTTAAAAGCTAAAAACCCCATGCTTCTAATTTCTAAATATGTTTTATAATTCTATTACCTCTCCTACAAATGCCAGGCCAATAATTTAGATTTTCTGAAAATGTCTTAGAGCACCATTTTCTTGATGTGTTGTGATTTTCTGGTATCTTTCATAACTTTACATATGAGAATGCTGTTGAAAATGTAAAGGGTGACCTATTCATGTATTCTTACTTCTGTTTAGGTAATCTGGATTATGTAACAAAATATATACTGCTGGTATAAATAGTCAGATTACGTGCATCATCAAGTTATGCGGGATCCTGTCAGCTCCGCTAGGTAGGCCAGACCAGGAATTCAGGCCCACAGGAAGGCTAGAACTACCTTGGCTACATCAACAAAACCTTGCAAGTCTGGCTATTCTACATCTCCCTACACACACACACACACACACACACACACACACCACCCCGTTTCCAAATATTATCTAGTTTACCAGGGCTTAAAAAATGTTTCAGTTCCCTTTGCCTAATTAATGGTCCTTGCCACAAGATCATCTTCCTTACTCTCTACAGACTTCAAAAGACTGAGCGGATCCATTCATACACAGATACTCCAAGTCCAGCCCTCCCCCACTTGGGACCTCCAGATACCTTGGACTTTAATTCCCACTGTCCCTCTAGCTGCCCTAGTGTCTTCCAAGTATATTGTTCTAATTAAGTTGTAACACTGAAGAGAAAATGTGGATTCCACTTATAAGGTGAACAGACTCATATTTGCAGGAATGTGCAAACTGGCTTTTTAACCAATTAAAGTGTTGACCACTGTTTGACTTTGCATGCCTCACAAGAGCACGCTAATCAGAATGAGGCACTGTCAGTTACTATGTAAAAAGGACGAACCAGTTACTCCAGCATTTATTTCTCTGAGAAGTCTCTTCCCTAACTGAAAATGATTCGCGCGCATAAACCTTTTCTATTCCTTCTGTTAATCTCTATATGCAATTTTGCTTCCTGGTGGTGAGGAAACATTGAGGGCGTATGCCATATCCAATAAGCATGCATGGATATGGTCTCAATTTGGGATAACCCCCTCTGCATGGTGTCCCTGCAGATACCTCCTTTGACAACCATCAAGTTCCATGCCATACCTGCCTTTTTTTTCTTTTTTAGAATTTTTTTTTTTTTTATAGGAAGTGGCATGCAAAGCATTATCAAAGCCTTGAGTCTTTCTGATTTGGCAGCCATTTGAGATTAATAAATAAATAAACAAAACATTTCCAATGCTGTTTCTGGGCTGCACATACGTTATGTAGGAATTATGTAGAAAATAAAGAAGTGGTGAGTGCTTGTAGCCAATGCTTTGTTGGAAATTGCCCACCTGTCCAGAAAAAAGGACAAATGTAAGCCACGGTTCTGGGAAGCATCATAAAGTGCTAGTGGAATGGCAAGAAGTTACCTCACCATTTGCCTTTGATAAATAGTAGGTTTGTGACTGACAGGCCCACCATGGCAGCCATTTTATGAGGGAGTTACAAATGTACTTCAGAGCATCGACTGCCTCATATTTGGATCAGGCTTCCCTAACTAAGTGCACTCCAGATTTTTTGACCTTCATATCCCAGATTCATATCTCAATCAGCATACTCCTACAATTATGCTTTGCATGTATTATAAGCTACATATGCGGATGTTTTTATTGCGGGGTGTGTGTGTGTGTAACTTAGATTGCTTTTTTTTCCTAGACTGGAGTAGTGTATGTATGTGAGAAAAAAACAGAGGCAGGTAGACTATGTAAGTTTCCATGGCACTTCCAGATACCATGCACTTGCTCACAGATTAGGGGTGGTGGTGTTCAGTTCACATGGTAATGTTTGACCATGTGTCCTATTAGAAACTAAATGGCTTCAGGGAATACCTAATAACAGAGCTTTAAGAACTCTTGTGTTGAGAGATGATGAGCAGTAGATCAACAGAAGCAAAGTCTTTGGCTTGTTTGTGTTTGTGGTACTCAAGGAGCTCAGGAATGATGACATCTGGAAAAAACTGCTCTCAAAACTGA